TGCCTTATGATGCAGCAGAGCAACAGTATTGTTTATTTACTTCTTGGAATATGTCTTGTACTTTCAGCATTTACAGGTGTCCAGAGAAATCCATAAGAATGTATGACCAACAGCTGTAATGCACTGCAGGTCACTTTAGCTGTCTTTTGTAGACAATAGTACTGACTTTTCAAAATAAGCAAATCTCACCTGTACCAGACATGCTTCTCCTATTTAGCGCTAAATAAACATGACACCATGGAATTTAGTGTCTGTACAATATGCTTTTAAGTTATTGCTGAAAAAATGTAGGTATCTCAAATTTTAAAAACATCCATTAAAAAGGCAGAATGAGATGTTTATAACTATACAAAGGAACTTGCCTCTTAAAAATTTTTAGAAGGAAAACCTCCTAAGTTTCAGAGATGTTTTTAGCATTTACTACATAAGGACAGTGTTCCATTTACAAGAAGGGTAACCTAAAATAAGTAGTAGATCCTTCGTTATCAGAGGTAATGAAGGGCTTGCAGAACCAAGATAAAAGCCACTGATGATAACTGCATCTAGTCACGTTAATTAAGGGGGTCTTTCCACTAGATTCCTGTGCTGGAAAGACTCCTTTGTGTGAATGAAACTTTGTGCAACTATGCGGTATCACCTTGAGCATTGCTTTCATGAATTCAGAAATGAAACAGTATGCTCAGAAGATGATAGACCCGAATTACTAAGCGCCTTAAAACAACACATGTAGGGAGCACATGAGAACCATTGCTCACAAGCAAAGAACCTAGTTCCTTGGGGTCTGTCTTGGCTGATTTGCTTGGGCACATCACTGCGGCTGAGTTGCTTCTCTCAGCTGGATGGTTAGGTAAGCACGGGAGGCGTGGTGCAGCACAGCATCTGAAACTGTTGAGCTGTGTTGTGTAGAACTCATTCACTGGTCTCACAGTAATAAATAAACTTTTTTAAATTCAGAAATATACTCAGAAAGTTAACTATATTTAAGGAACTATTGTTAAAAGAAACAGCTTTATGAAAGGATAGCTGTAGTTATATAGTAATATTTATTTTTCATTGGTAATAAAGGTCTGAAACACTGTGGGTTATGAGTCATACTGGGTTAACCGTCAGCTTCAAAGTTAAATCAATTTAAGGAACTTATGCCAAATCAAAACTTATTTTGTGTTTAGGTATATCTCTTTATTTATATGTTCTATTCACTTGCATATCATGAAAGCATATTTAAAGAAAATCTAGAAAAGGGAATATAATGACTTCTAGCTGTAAGCAATTAATTGTAATAAGCTTTTGGATGTCATTAAGACTTACAGAATCCTGTATTATTAAAAATATCTTTGGAGGATTGATAGAGGTTATGGTCTGAGCTTTGATCTTTTGTCTAACACTTTAAACATTGATAAAACTATAGAAAGAGTAGGGAGCTCTCCTGCTTTTATACTTTGTGTTGGATAAATATGAGAAATAATAAGAACTAAACTTTAAATAGATTCTGATTATTCAGCAGTTATGTACTTCTTACACATTTTCTTTTGTGAATGTTTTAGTGTTTAGATACTATACATTTTATTTTACATCTCATTTTGAAAATTATTGTACAGAATTAGATTGAAGCTAAATATAATATTTTTACCTATATTCTTGAAAATTCTGGTTGTATATTTTTCAGTGTAACATGTTAAAATCAGTCTTCAGTTAATTTAAAAATTTTGGAGTGACACAGGTCTCTGTCCCAGTGCAAATGGTAATTATCAGTGTAGAAAAATCAGCCATCTGCAATCATATTAACAGGAGATTTGTTACATTATAAAACAAGTTTTAAAATTGATTGATTGGCCAAAATTAATTTTTCCTTTGTGCTATTCATCTATGTGTTGAACCTTTTTTACTTTTATATAATAAATCATATTTTTATTATAAAACATTCAAGATCTACCAAGAAAACAGTTTAGTAAATGATTTTAAAATAATTTGTTCTAAACCTAGCACGCATTATTTTAAGGTACAAATCTTGTATAAAATTATGTGTTCATGTTATAATATCTCTCTTTAGGATTGGATAAAAGATGTTTTATGTATCATCCAGATACTTGATAATATAATGCTATCACATTATACCACACATTGTCAGCATTATTGGGATTTTTATAAAAAAATAATGGAAATAAAAAAGACTCCATACACCCAAATGTGCTAAAAAACCTTTATGGCATGAGTCATCTATTCTACACTTTCTTTGACAGAAAAATTATATAAGTTAGATTTGTTTCAGACTCTTCAGAAATAAGATGTTAATCCACTTGTGAAAATTCATAGAAGTAATTCAGAGATTAGTAGAATAATGTAGGTTGGATCTCCTAGAGGACACCTGGCCCAACCTCCTGCTCAAACCAGGACCGACTTTCAGGTTGCTTAGGGTCCTCTCTAATCAACTTCTAAATATCTCCAAGGAGAAAACATATTCTGATGTTTCACTATTCTCATTGTAACTTTTTCCCATAATACCTAGCTGGAGTTTCCATTGTTGAGTCTTGCACCTGTTCTCTCTTGTCCTGTCACACTGCGTCTTCAAGAAGCTGGCTTTGTTTTCTCCACATCTTCTGGTTAGCTAGTTGGAGACAGCAATAAGGTCTCCCATGAACCTTCCCTTCTTAAGCTGGACCAGACCCAGCTCTCTCAGCCTCCTCTCATATGTCATGTGCTCCAGACCGTGACTAACTTGGTGGGCCTTCATTGAAGACTGTCAGTGTCTTTCTTGTACCAGGGAGCCCAAAAGCAGATGCAGTCTCAAAAGTCTGGAGGGATATAATCATTTCCCTCAACCTGCTAACTGAATTGTGTGTCTGGCCTTATTCACACCTAGGTCTTTTCTGCAAAAAAAATGCTTTGTTTTCCCCAAGCTTGTCCTGTTGCCTGGAGTTATTCCATTCATAGTAATGGGATGCCACTTGGACTTTGTGTCACTGATCACAAACCTCTGAGCCTTGCAGTCCAGCCAATTTTCTATGCACTTATCCAATTCATGTCTCACCCTTTTCTCTAGGGGTAAATGGAAGATCTTGCAGAAAGCCTTGGTAGAGACAAAGCTAAAAACATTCACTGTTCTCCCCTCATCCATGGAGCCAGGCATCTCATCACACAAGGCCGTGAGATTGGCCAGATGTCATTTGCCTTTGACAAAGTCCTACTGGCTCTTCCCAGTCACCATTTTGTCCTTTATGTGCTTGGAGATGGCTTCCAGGAAGATTTGCTCCATAACCTTCCCAACACTGGCCAGCTTATACTTCTCTAGATCTTCTGAGGATAATTCCTGCCTTTCATGATGGTGGATGCAACATTTGTGGCTTTTCCACTTATCAGGAATCTCCCCTGACTGCCATTACCTTTCAGAGATGAAAAAGGCCCCGCTATGACAAGTTAACCAAGTCTCTCAGCACCCTTGGATACAGCCAATCTACTCCCTTTGACTTCTGTATGTCTTCCCCTCCTGTATTGTGAGTTACGCTTCACTCCCACAGACTTCCACTATGCTCAGGGAGGCCTGACGGCAGAACTTTGCAGTAAATACTGAGGCAAAAAACCATGTTATATGGTTTATAAACCATGTTATACTGATGTCACAGGAAATAAACACTGCCCCATCAGAAAATGCACCCAAAACCGACGGTTAATGCATAGAGTAATGAAAACTGTCAAAAGTGCATTGAAAATGTATCATGACCCTTTGCAAATGAATATGGAAACTTTTCTTTGATTTTTTTCTTCCCAAAAATGTTGACATTGAAACCAATAATTTAGCCTTACACCCCTCAAAAAGCATAACAAGATATTTTCCTAAAAATGTTTGCTTTTTAAACTTCCAAAAATCCCAAGAAAGTCTTTACATTCTTGTAAATACAAATTTTCTTTCATTTTTTCACTTCCTACACTAAAACATCTTGAGGTGTTGTAACAAGCTCTGCCAGAAAACTTGACTGGTCATGCAAGGATTGCTATGTACACAGTACAAGAACTACAAAAACATCCTTATTACTATAACAAAATTCAATGAAAAATACAAAACAGACTGGAAGATGGAAAATAAAACATATCAATTCAGGGCTCATATTTCCAGGGAGGCCTGCTTAAGTATAAGGAGAACCAGGAATGATAACTTAACTTCTTTCAAAAAGCCTATTGGCTCTCTGTATATTACATGAAGTCTGGGATTTGCATTTACCTTTTGTCGAAAAGATAAACCACCATAGAGAGATTGTGATTGCATTATTCAGAGAAAGCATGACTATCATTGACAGTTATTTCAGTGCCTGACAGCTCCTTCAGCATCCCTTCACTCCCTGTAGAATGAAATCTTGTCATGAGCTTCCCATGCTAGACAGCCAGTCCTGTTTGGCTGAACCCAATAGGTACATCCAAGGTGAGTAGAAGGTAGTAAGAGTATGCTGTTATTCTTACCCTATTATCTACATGAGATCCTAGCCGTGTCAAACAACAGTCTTCACAGTCTGTTCTTGCATAGTTGTAGTGTATTTTGTGAGAATTTTCACTTTAGGACATGGGGATAATGAAAGTTAATTTAGTTTAAGAATATTTACTAATTTGTATGTTTCTTAAAGAAATCTCATTGTGTCCCCTTGGGTAAGGGAGTTGTGTCGCAGCAATTGATACTGCACTAACTGTATTATTATTATTTAGAAATTTAATTTGACAGAAGCTATACATATTTTCAAACATCTTTACATACCGAATTATGCTACAGTTTTTAGAAAGCTGAAAACACAGGACATGGGCAGTTCTGTAACCAATTCTAGATTTTCTTCATGTTAATGTTAAATTCAGTGATTGTTTTTTCTAAGGTTAGATTATGTCCCACAAACAATGAGCATTGTTACAAAAATGGAAAGTTTTAAACATTAGAGGTTAGGACTTACTAT